TAATACTTCATAAAAGTTTTAAAATAGAAAATGACATCCATTATCATGTCTAAAAATAATATATCTTTAATCATCATTTTTATTAGTAGCTTCTGAAAATAAATTGACAGCTAATCACCTCAAGACAATAAAACATTTCTTTATACATAATTTTAAAGCAGTGTAAGGGAAGTAATCCAAATTCAACATTGTACTAAAAAGTGATTATTTATTAACAAGGAAAAACTTATTCCCCCCCCTAATTCCTAAACGGTTTGAGCCATTACCCACCAAAGCCAATTCTAACAATCCCTTTGTGGTATGGAAACTTGCTGTACAATTTCAGAGAGATCCATACACCGTTCCACAAGTTATTGTCTGAAAAACTAGAAAAATGCTTATTTGGGCCCCTTTTTGGCCCCTAGTTCTTAAACTGTTAGGACCATAACCCTCAAAATCAATCCCAACTTTCCTTTTGTGGTTATAAACCTTGTGTTTAAATTTCATACATTTCTATTAACTAATACTAAATTTATTGTCCGGAAACCAAGTGTCTTCGGACGACGACGACGACATGATACCAATATACGACCGCAAAATTTTTTTGCGGTCGTATTAAAATGGTAAAATCATTATCAAAGGGAAATAACTCAAATAAGGGGTCGTCAGACAATTTCAAGACTGTTTACTTCTTTGTAGATCTTGTTTAGCTGATCACTTTTGCTTATTTAAGTTTCTATCTAATTACATTTATTTTTCAGATATTTCAAAAAATTGATAAAAATGGTTGTTAAAGGGCAATAACTCCAATAAGGAGTTGTCTGATGACTTATTTGTTGATCTTGGCTTGTTGACTATTCTTTGTATATAAAGTTTTCCCTATCTATTATAATTTTTCAGATATTCGGCAACATGAAAAAATAGGTAAAATTATTATACAAGGGCAATAACTCAAATAAGAAGTTGTCTGACAGTTTTGAAGTAAGTAGACAATATGTAAAACTCATTATATTGAACATTTTTGCCCCGTCAGATTTTCTCTATTCAAAGCGGTTTTCAAGATAATAGACAAAACTTGCATTTTACCCATATGTATGTCGACCAAGTTGGTTTACCAGGCAGGGTCATTGGACACAATTTTAAAACTAGATAACTTAATGATGATTGTGGACAAGCTTGGTTAAATTTGTCCCATAGTTTGAGGGTAGAAGATTTTTGTTAAAGTTAACAACGACGGACGACAGACGCAAAGTGATGAGAAAAGTTTAGGCCAGGTGAGATAAAAAAGGGAAAAATTGTCATTAAAGGGCAATGACATTGATCAGGTGTCCACTTAAGATTTTGGTCATGTTAGATTATTTGTAAATCTTGTCTTACTGATAATTTTTCCTATTTTAAAGATTATATACATCTATTAAAGTTTCTAAGATATAAGACAAAAAGTTGTCAGACGATTTCAGCTTTGGTAACTTATTCGTAGATCTTGTCTTGCTGATCAATTTTGTTGTTTAAAATGTTTATTTATCAGATTACTATAGTTTTCAAGATAATATCATGAAAAGGCAAAACCACTAAAACTGGGTAAAAATTGTCATTAAAGAGTAATAAGGAGTCTTCGAACCATTTCGACATTGTAATTTATTTGTAGATCTTGTCTTGATTATCATTTTTGCAACATATAAATTTTCAAATATCTATTAATGTTCTTTTTCAGATATTAGACAAAAAACCAAAATATGATAAAAATCATCATTAAAGGGTATTAACTACAATTAAGAATTGTCGGAGGATATCAGCCATGTTCACTTATATGTAGAATTTTATCTTGCTGTTAATTTTTGCTGATTTAAGTTTCCATCAATCTATTATTGTTTGCAAGATAATAGAGCAATACTCCTATAAGAATTAGTCTGACAGTTTTGATGGTTTCCGACAATTTGTAGATCTCATCATTTTGAACATTTTAGCCCCAGTCAGATTTGCTCCAATCATATTGGTTTTCAAGATAGTTAACAAACCTTGCATTTTACCCTATGGTCTATTTTTAGCCTTGTCAGCCATCTTGGGTGACAGGCTGAGTCATCAGACACATTTTTAATAGTAATCAAAACTTGGCGGCTGTTAAAGCAATTGCTGCCAAGTCAATGTTTTTGTGACTTTTATTTTTCATCAACATGTAAAAGAATTAAACCTGACAGGATTCTTTTCTAGTGAGAAGTAAGGCTGTTTTAACTTTATATCAATAAAAGACTTATCCAGCAGAAAGTCATTTTTAAAATGTTTTACCAGTGGGACGACACGTTTACCATGCTAATGGTGGAGGCAAATATATATGCAGAAACATATAACTCACGCAGAAATTATAATAGATTATCCCCTAGAGTGTTTATTACTGGGCAGTAATTTACATGACAATCCATGCACATTCCAGGCTTCATTATCTTTATTGCTTTAATTTTAATTATATCATAATTGGGATAAATTTAACCATTCAGTTGATGATTTCAACTTTCGTGATGTGAATGTTCTACCGAACTATAGTTTTTTCTATAATAAGAATCATTCATTCATGCATACCGATTAAAGATTTTGAAGATGAGACCAGCTTCTGAATTTTTCATGAAATGCGCGTTAACTGTTGATTAACCTGGGAACTGGCTTACGCTTTACCCCTTTCATCACTAAGGCCAGAATTTTTTAATTTGTTGGTTTACGGATTTTTCACATGAAAAAGTCCGGTCAAAAAAAAAAAGAAAAAAAAAAACTTACAGGACATAAACATAATTAAATCGTCATTTCACGAACAAGAAAAAACAGATACAAGTTGCTTTTTATCAACTTTCAGGTAACATGGCGATTTATAATCTTCAAGCTCGAACACATGTGAAATAAAATTGCAAACACGTCGACTTGAACAGATCAGCGTCAAAAAAAAAAAGACTCGTCCACTGGAAACAAGAGGATGTCGGTTTCATCATTTGTCATGCATTCCCATTTTTGATATCCAAATGGACAAACCTTTTTTTAATCTATGAAACAAGAAAATTCCAAATTTGTTTGTGAATATCTCTTACTTGTAACTTGGCGTCTTTCACGTTCAGACGGGTCCATTTCGTCTATAAGATGATCAATAAATCTTACGGAATTATGACATAAAAGGAAAACGAACTTTTTTTTAATGTGTTTTTAACACAGGTTTCCTTCCGCAAAGTTATTTGCGCAAACAAAATTACAAGGTCAGTTATGTGTGTCTATTTTTAGATACGTAAACATAGAGCTACAGGTAATCATTAGGGTTATTATGACATTTGACACTGTCCTTATATCATTTGTTTACAGAGTGGAGTCTATCAGTATCAACAGCAATTAAAATAACAGGGCCCGTTATTTCAAGGAAGTATTAATAACATGGTAAGAGTAATTAGAACGTGTAAACTGTGATACTTTTAATTTAAAACAAATAATGCGAGATAAGATTTCATTACTATAATGTGCGTAGTGATTTTACATCATTTTATGAATGAACGATAATTTTATGAATGAACAAGGACAACTTGACATCTTTCAAAAAGAAACACGAATTAAACAACATAAAACCGTACAATAGATAATTCAGTCAACTTTTTAATATTAACAAATGATATGATTCAATATTTTGTTGAAACATCTCAAGAACGAAATTGCAGGTATAAAAATGCACTTTTTTTCACTCTGACTTCTATGTTCTTTGATAGTCAAACGGTTGTCCCTTGAAATACAAAAAAAACATCTACAAGAACATATATTGAAACTTCTTAAACCCACTAATGCTTTTCAACTGTTTAAATTAATGTATTGCATTAGAAAACATACATAGGAGTTTTAGAATGACAGACCAGGAATCTGCTTAAAAAAAACTTTGGCTTGATCTGGGCAGGGCCTCTGATCTGGGTCACATAGCATGAAAGCAATTACTTTAAAAAAAACCAATGATGCTTGTGTCCAAGTTTGGTTAGAGTTGACCCATTAGTTTCAGAGGAGAAGATTTTATAAAAAGTTAACAGACGACAAAGGACAAAGGACAACAAGGGATGCAAAGTGATGAGAAAAGCTCACATGGCCCTCCTTTGGACTAGGTGAGTTGATAAAAGAGGAATGTGTCTGAGGACTTGACTGTCCCCATTCAAGCTTTGCAACGAGAATGGGATGAAAAAACAGAATTACGGAAGGTCAAGGGTAAGACTGAATGCCACCATCGCGCAGGGTCCATGAAATATACCCTTCCAATGTCAAAGACAGGGATATTGGTTTTGTCCTTTTTGTCAGCTAACCACACTTAGGTATCCAAATGGATGAAATATTTTGTACAACCTAATGAAAGAAGAAACTTTCCAATTTATTTATGGTCACCTTCTTACTTTTACCTAAATCATTACCAGTTTAGAAGGTCCATTTCAAAAATGAGGATGAACACCTTTTCCCAAAATGGTTCAAAATAAAATCTTACAGAACTTTGACAAATAAGGAAAACAAACTTATTGTAAATGCTATTACATTGGTTTTCATTCCATTTAATCATTTGCATAAACAACATTCCTAGATTTGTTTGATTGGTTATTTTTAGAACTCAATTCTTAAGAACACAAACACAACAGATTATTGACACATAACAGATGATGTGTTCTCATTTTTGTCATGTCTGTTTATGCTAAAATATTAAACAATAATGCACATAATATGAGATAATGCTACTACACTGATATTCTTATTTGTATTTCAGGGATACTGAATTTGGTAGAGAAAGCAGGAATAAAATTACTATAAATTATTTGAATTACTATTTTTTTCTGAAAATCAGAAAATTTTGTTTGCAGATCTATCAAACAACAAATAAAAAACCCTTTTGTTAGATTTCAACATTCAGTTTAAATTCTATGTTTACCTGAGCAAATTAAAATAAAGGGTAAAAACACACAACAATTATAATAACTGTGGTCTTGCAATTGGGCTGATTATCAAAAAACTAATTCTTGCGTACTTACAGTAAACTACCAATACTACACTGCCTATAAATACAGCTGAAACAGCTAATACAATTTCTGATATTTGGGTTGATGACTTCATATTTTGATCATATGGTGTAGTTACATTACTAGAGTTTCCAGCTTTACTTGCATTTGTGTAGACTAAAAAAAAAAAAACCAAACACTCAGAAATGTTAGATGCATGGATATATGATAATAACTTCAATCTGCTTGATAAAAAGACACTAATTTGATATACATTTACACAATGAATCTGCAAATATATTGAGGTCATGGTACTTGTAGATAGAATAATTATTGCAAAAGTTCAAAAATAAATAAACATACAAATGAACAGAGTTTTAATGTCCCCTCCTTTGCACATATTTTATGTGACCAAGGGCTAATAACTGAAAGACATTTTTTTCTTGGTTCTTTAAAACTTTATAGAAATATCTTAGATAAATTTATAGGCTAAAGAATCAGAAAATGCAGGGAAATAACATTATTTCATTGTAACCAATGTAACAATATCCAATAGCTAATAATATTTTGTCCTTTATAATGTTTCGAAATAGCATATATATCTAATTTGTACATTAAGTTCACAAAAATAGAAACTGAATGGAGGAAAACAGATCTTAACAACCCCAAATTATATCAAGAAGTCAACATACAGTCTTCAGTGATTGGTAATGGTCCATAACATAAAATAAACTGTGTAATTCACCTTACTAGTTTTAGTATTCCAGATAATACCAATTAAAATATAAAATTAACCAAAAAATATTATTTAATGGCAATAACTCCCTTAGAAGGCATTCGATTATTTAGTTCATTTAGCATTTTTATTAATCTTGTAATGCTGATAATGTTGGATTGTTTACATTTCGGAAAAAGGAAACGATCGACACTGTGAAACTGATAACAATGGCTCACTTTGCCCAAAGGGGCAGGTAGCTTAAAACTATTTCCAGCACACAAAGCTCTTAAGAATTCTTATCTGGGTTTGGCTATACAAGTGGTCCTTTCTTTTGTTTTAGATTTTGGATTGTCAAATGTTTTGGCTTCGAACATCACTGAAGAGGCATTAACTTTCATAATGTTAATCTGGTGCAGTAAAATTGGTACCTTTAATGTTTTTGAATTAAAAAAATAGAATAAATGTTATCAATTTTGTGAATCTAAAGTGCCTTTCTGGATTTACCGACATCAGGAAGGCTAAAAGCCTAATATTTGAAAGCCAAGGTGTACAATAAAGAACTGAAACACATGAAGAGCTTTATGAAAAAAAGGAACTCAAAAGCAATAGCCATATCCATCTAAAATCAACTTTGCCTAATTAATGGTATTTAATTTTCAAAGGACAAATGATGGAATTAATACGATTTGTAATTCATCATTGTATAAAACATACTTGTAAAAAAAAATTTCCTTTAGTATAACTGTTATGGCTTTTATTTGTATATACAGTGTCTCGTGTCTTTATAGGCTGGGTATTGATCCTTATTTTATGATGTTGTTTTGTAATTTTATTGTAGATCAATATGTGACACTTGAATAAACTTTTATTTATCTTATCTTATCTCATACTCAAACATTTATTAGTCTCATTTCCTTCAAATCTAACTGGTCCTGCCACCTTCCCAAATGTACAAATTATGATTGGAAGCTTTTCACAGTCCTTTTTTCTAATTTTATATTCTGCAATATAGTCAACGGTGTAAACAATCCCATTTTGGCTATAGTTTTCAGCTTTTTCTGGAATGAAACTGTTCTGAAATTCAAAGAAAATGATAGAATACAATAATGTATTAAACTATTTTGATGTATCATATTTACTGACCTACAAAATGGACCTATGAATTTAATTTCAGGAATATCTGACATTTAAATTTATCTGCATATATGCAAAAAATACTCCTTTTTAAACTATTGTATCATGAAGTGGTAGTGAGTAATGTACCTTAAACATTCTCCAAGCAAGAAATATGTAATAATACTATGCACTTTAATAATAACATCAAACATGGTTTCTTTGAATGTTTACTGAATTACAGTTTTGTATCAGGAGTATAATTTTATGCAAAAATTTAAAAAAAGAATTTATTGAAAAAAAATATATTATTTTGGAAAATATGAAATTATGAGCAGCATTTTGGTACCTTATGATTTGTGATTAATTAGACTGAGCAATATTATATTTTATGGTGGTATGAGTCTTCCACAATCTTGAATTCTAAAATTGCAGGACACAATAGGTCTATAATTTAATTAGGTCAACAAATTTTGATGCAGGAATGCAATTTCTTAATAAAACTTTTGAGTTAAATGAACAAATAAATGTGACCTTACATTATTATCACTCACATTTTTCTTGGTTTAATTTCAAAATTTTAAAAACTTTGCTTATTAATATGTATTTTATGTTATGGCAAGAAAAAACGTAAAGTGATCCCATTTTTTCTTTTGATACTCTGAAAGCATTTTATAAGAGGAAATGTATATATCTTCTCATATTCTATTTCAAAAATCTTTTGGCTAAATCTTTAAGCTAATTGTTTCAAACCATCATGGCCACTTGCATGGACCACTATGACTTTTTGTTATGATGGATATATGATCTATATACATATTTTGAATGAAAAAAATATATATATTTGGTTGAAAGGTTTGATCAATGTTTTTTGGAAGGATGTAGACCTTATAAACACATAAAAGCAGGCAATCTTGCTAAAATTCTATAAAATGTCATACTTTTGAAGCTGTCAACATAGTTAAAACAAACAGCAGAGAGAAAAAGGGTCTAGTTTATCTCAATTTGCATATCTCAGATCATAAATATAGGTTTTTTAATATGATTTTACAAAATTTTATTTTAGGTCCAAATTAAGGCCTTTGTGGCCCTACTCCTTTGAATATATGTCATAATTCAGGAGTAAATTCTCAATCATAAATTTGACGAATTTTCTGTAAATAGTCATTCAGGCTTTAATGAAGCCATTAGCGCAATACAACATCTAAAATTGTCTGGTTTATAATTAAATATCACATGTTGCTTCCAAGATATTTTCAACATGTTTGATCTCTTTGTTATGTTATAAATTAGGCCGTTTGTTTTCTCAGTTGAAATGTTTCATATTTTTCATGTCTGGGCCTTTTATAGCCAACTATATGATATGGATTTTTCTCATTGTTAAAGGATATACAGTTGCCTATAGTTGCTTACATCAACTTCATTTGATTTTTGGTGGATAGTTGTCTCAATTGGCAATCATACTACATCTCCTTATCTAATATCGAGGGGCAAAAGATTGACAGATTTCTCTGAAAATAGATCTTGCTATGCTTATAATTCAGAGCTCCAGATAAGCTGCGTATTTGCGTGTTCACACAATAAAAACAATTGGAAACCTAATTCATGCAAAGGAAACCCGAATTATATGTCAAAACCATGCGTTCTCAACTCTTCTAAGTCATTTTCCTGTGCGTTATTTACCCTTATCAATACATTATCGTGGCGTAAATCTATTTATGTAATATTTATAATTGGAAATCTCCTTTTGTTCTAAAAATAGAGCATTACATCAAATAGTTGATATGGGTTCCTCATGGAATCGTCCGTTGCTAAAAAAGTAAATGTGCTCATGCAAACAGGTTTCGATCTTCTCTGCATTTATCCAATCAGCATAAGTCATGTGATCATAATTACTTTCGTATTTTTCGGGATTTATGAAAATAAATGAATTAAAACGAAAGTAAATTTCCGGTAAAAATATTGAATAGAAGCATCTTTTGAGAGGATAATTATAATGATAACAAGACTAAGCTAGTGTTATCAGGAAGCGTTTTCGGACGCACAGGTTCATGCAATGGCGAGTCCAGACAGAAAACCATGCGTTCAGGGCGAGTAAACGCGCCTTAACGAGAACATTGTTAGTAGATCTTAGTACGACAAACACGCGTTTCGTCTCCATATGACTAATCAGTGGTGCGAGAATTAAATCAGTTGGAACAGTGAAAGGCCAAATCAATTATATAGTTGAAAAGCATTGGAAACCACAAGTTCTAAAAATGGACAACAAATGACCAGATAATTTTATGTAAATAAAATTAAACAAAAACATTCATTTTAGTTTTAAAAGAGTTTTTTTTTTTCATTTCTATTGATGAGTGAACACACATATTTGTTTTGACGTAAATGTAGCTTGCCTCTTTCTTTGTTGTTGATCTAATTGTTCTAATGCCAATAAATTCAACTTAGTATAATAGTCCCAGCTTTAGCCTGGTCATTCTAGTCAAGGTTTTAAGGTGGATCTTAAACTAACTGGGTACTACTTGATATTTATAAAAAAGGCAGGTCTGACGAACAGTTAATAGGACTGGAAAAGCTGTCTTACAGGATGCAATGTTCACAAGTACTACATAAAAATCTTAAAACTTAGCCACACCTACCCCAAATAACCCAAAGGGTGACCGAATGTGCTCTAGAAAGGTAATTAGATACTGCCCACTAGTGACACCAGTTTATATAACTTGACAGAGAAAAAAAAAACTGGCAGAAAGGTTGAAACAAACCAAACACAAATTAAAGAACAATTGCTCATCAGGGTATAAACCAAATAAAACAGCCATCACATATAATGAAAGAAACATTCTTAAGATGGATGAACATCTCGGGTTGATATAATTTCATTACAAGAGGCTCATGAGAAAAGTAATTGGACTTTCACAAAAAATGTAAAAAAAAAATGTTTAAAGGGCAATAACTCCTCAAGGGGTCAATTGACTATTTTGATCATGTTGACTAATTTGTAAATCTTACGTAGCTGAATATTTATTGCCATTTATACTTTCTCTCTATCTATTATAATATTAAAGAAAATAACCAAAAACAGTAAAATTTAATAAAAATAAACTATTTCTAACAGTAACCCAACAATGGGTTGTCGAACTTGTCTGAAAATTTTATAACAGATATATCATGACCCATTTATCACTTTAACCCCCTTTCACTTTCGCTCTAACTGCTGTAGTTTTTGAGATCAAAGCCAAAAGCTGCATTTGTCCCCCATGTTCTATTTTTAGCTATGACGGCCAAGTTTGTTGATGGATCAAAACTTCGGATACAATTTATAAACAAGGTACCCTAAGGAACATTCAGTTAAAGTTTAAAAGTATTTCGCCCAGCAGTTTCAGAGAAAAAAAATTTGAAAAAGTAATAGACTTGCACGAAAAAATGTCAAAAATAAATGTTTCAAAGGCAACAACTCCTTAAGGAGTTAATCGACTATTTTGATCATTTAACTTATTTGTAGATCCTACCTAGCTGAACATTTTTGCCATTTACACTTTCTCTCTATCTATTATCATATTAAAGATAATAACCAAAAAAGTAAAGTTTCATAAAAATAAAACTATTTCGGACAGTAACCCTACAATGGGTCCAGTTGGTCTGAAAATTTCATAGCATATAGATCTTGACTTATTCACCACTTTGACTCTGTCATTTTAGCTCTAACTGCTATAGTTTTTGAGATAAAAGCCAAAAACTGCATTTGGCCCCTATGTTCTATTTTTAGCCATGGCGGCCATGTTTGTTAATGGATAAAAACTTCGGATACTATTTATAAACCAGTTACCCTAAGGAACATTCAGTTAAAGTTTAGAAGTATAAGGCCCAGTTGTTTCAAAGGAGAAGATTTTTAAATGTTAAACATGACGAACAAATTGTGTAAAACTGTCTTTAAAGGGCAATAACTCCTTAAGGGGTCAATTCACAAGTTTGGTCATATTCACTTTTTTGTAGATCTTACTTTGCTGAACATTTTTGCTGTTTTACAGTTTATCTGTATCTTCAATAATATTCAAGATAATAACCAAAAACTGCAAAATTTCCTTAAAATTACCAATTTAGTGGCAGCAACCCAACAATGGGTTTCTCAGTTCATCTGAAAATTTCAGGGCTGATAGATCTTGACCTATTGAACATTTTTACCCCGTCAGATTTGCTCTAAATGCTTTAATTTTTGAGATAAAAGCCAAAAACTGCATTTGACCCTTATGTTCTATTTTTAGCCATGGTGGCCATGTTTGTAAATGGATCAAAACTTCGGATACAATTTATAAACAAGATACCCTAAGGAACATTCAGTTAAAGTTTGAAGGCATTTTGCCCAGTAGTTTCAGAGAAGATTCTTGAAATAGATTACGACGACGACGACGATCGACGACAGACGCCAAGTGATGGCATAAGCTCACATGGGGCCCTTTAGGCCCCGGTGAGCTAATAACATGCCTAAATTCAATTTCTTGAAGATGAAAAAAAAAACAATACATTAAGGAGCTTGGTGGTGAAAAATTCAATTTGATATTTGCTTAAGGGGTGAATTGGAATTAATAATGCAATAAAAAAAAACTACTTCACTCAATTACATAAACAAGAGTGCACACGCTGAAATGTCTCGCCTTCTTTACTAACCATTGATATTATGTTGATAGTCCTAAATGAAAGCTTTACTACAACTATCACATAAACTTAACATGATCCGAGAAAATGAAGTCAAGGTCATATAAACCAAACGAGAAATACATGCACACCTTACAATCATTCAATACACTAAATATAGTTGACCTATTGCTTATAGTTTCTAAGAAACAGACTTAACCAAGAAAACTAAACATTATAAATTTTGACTTGGATGGAGAGTTGTCTCATTGGCACTCATACCACATCATCTTATATCTATTGACCAATGAATCGTGAAAATGAGGTCA